TTGTTGGAAAAAGACAATTTTTTTGGGAGTAAGTGAGTTCCCGAAAGCGGGTCTTTCCTAAAGAACGGTTGTCAATTTTTCAATTTGTTACTTCGTGTAAAGGCGCCTCTGTACAGAGACTTCTCTGTATAAAAGCTTTTGTATGTAAAAGTTTCTCTCAGTAAAGACTTCTTTGTGTAAAAGCTTCCTTCTGTGTGTGAAAGTTGCTCTGTGTGAAAGCGCGTTTATGTAAAGATTTCACTGTGTATAAAAGCTTCCGTGTGTAAAAACTCTCTGTGTAAAGGCTTCTCTGTGTAAAAGTTTCTGTGTGTAAACGCGCCTGTGTGTGAAAGCTATATATCTGTGTAAAGACTTCTTTGCGTAACAGCTTCTGTGTATAAAGGCTCCTAGACGTTTGTGTAGAAACTCCTTAGAGTAAAGACTTCTCTGTATAAAACCTTCTGTGTATAAAAAAGCTCCTTTGTGTAAAGATTTCTCTGTATAAAAGCCCGTGTGTAAAAGCTTGCTGTGTGTAAATGCTTTTGTGTGTAAAAGCTCCTTTGTGTGAAGGCTTCTCTATATAAAAGCTTCTATGTACAAACACATCTGTATATAAAAACTCTCTATGTAAAGACTTTTTCGTGTGAAAACTTCTGTGTGTAAAAGCTCCTAGACGTTTGTGTGCAAAAGCTCCTTAGAGTAAAAACTTCGCTGTGTGTAAAAAGCTCCTTTATGCAAAGACTTCTCTGTGTAAAAGCCCCTGTCTGTGTAAAAGCTTCTGTGCGACTCCTCCGTCCAGCTTTGTTTCGGGTCACGCTGTCGTCGAATTTCAATCTGCAACATTGTTTCTTGTGGAAGAATACCAAGAACAGGTGAGGTGAAAAGCATCGCATGTTGAAAAATTGAACATAAACAGCGTACAAAGTGCTGTAATTTACAGCATTTTGCGCTGTCAAATGGCAAGAACCCGCGTAAATACGACAGTTTTAGTCCCCGAAAGTTGCTAAAACGCTGTTATTTACAGGGTTTCAATTACGTTACGATCTTCGATTTTTTGAAAAACACGTGAATACCAGTGTTTTTTACGTTCATCAAGGCAAAAAATCGGTTCAAA